GGTCAATTCGAGTCGAGTATGCACGGGCACCCGAGGGACCGAGATACCGTTTCCCCCGCACGCCGCACTCGTGGAACTCCAAACAGCGGCATAAACCTCGGCTGGAAGAACTCTGCGAATGTTGCGACGAAGTTGGAGACCCCAAGCGCAGATCCGGGTTGTTCGGGTATCCTTGTCCACACCATAGCATCTCCGGTCGAGGACCCTGCTGGGCCTGTCACCTGACAAAGTGATCACGCAGGCCAGGCACTTCAGTCAAAATAACGACAATAAAATGAAAAGGTCTTTGAAATGCTATGCCAGTTGGTCGACTACGTGAATGAAAACCAGTGGACGATATGAATACCTACCATGTAAAGTGATTCGAAAACCGGCACTTCCAAATATTCCAAGACAAGCCCAACATAAAGTCTGGGAAATGAAATTGAATTATCCCATTTTCACCATCGAATCCGTAGGCAGCAATGGCATCATGGCTCTTGTGTCTCTTGAAGATGTGTCGAATGAGCTAAAAGAAAAGCAAAAGCCAGCGGAATTCGGTAGGATCTCAACCCGCTTACACGTCGAAGGCAGCTGAGGGATCTGTCAAATTTGAGCAGGGTACGTTAGATCATACGATGTACGGCCGGTGGCTGTGTCCTGTTTGTTTGCTATTGTGAAAGTCATGCGCTGTGAAGATGCCAAGACCCTTTCAGCTTCATTGTAAATAGATGTAATGACGAGTGAGCTCGGCGCTGTGGTCGAGGAGAAACTACGATTTGAGCTTCTATTGCCGTTGAAGCTTCTCATTGGTGACTAAGGAGAAGTCAATGAATGATCTATATGTTCGAGGAAGAAGAGCGATGGTATTAGAAAAGCTGGCAGGTCCTATCTCGGCCGTGTAGGGGCGACGGTTAACGGGCAAAGGACGCGGGTCTATCATGTATCTGGAATTAGCCAAGTCTTGTAATACGAAGTCAACGCTCAATCAGACACATGTGATTTGGATGCTCTGGGTCAAGTTAGTTCCGAGCTGGGAGCCTGGGACAAATTGACGGTGGGCCGGCGCAAGGTAAGGTTCGGAGACTGGCCTTCTTTACGGCGCAGCTCCAATAGTCATTTTGGTTCTTGTTCAATGCTTCCGAATCCTCCAACAGGTATATGCCATCCGAAGTAGAAGGGAAGATAAAGGAAAGAAGTGAGAAATGAAACCATGAGGTGATTTCAGTTGGTGGCCCTCTTTTCCTCCGTGGTAATCAGCTCGTTCTCTGGTGATATAGGAGATTCCTTCCTCTCCGTCGCACCTTCTGAGTGTCCCTCTTCAAGGTTTCCTGCCGCTACTGCTTGCGCTTCATCCGCGCCAATGGTGACATTTGGAGCATATCCGAGTTTACCCTCATTCTGGCGCTTCGCAGGAATGAACAGGTCATACCATCTGGGGAAGATGAAGCTGCCGAAGATGATGAGAAGCGCAATATGTCCGACGCCAAAGCCGAGGATATGAAGCGGGTCGTACCGCAGCTTGTAGAATGCGGGATACGAGAACCCATAGACGATCGCAAGAATTGGCCCAGAAACGTAGCGTAGCAACACGGGCCAGAAGGTCGGGATATTCCAGTTTTTGCCACTTCCAATAATGATATTGAGGTCACGGCGAAGTTGATTTCCCTTGAGACAGGAGTTAGCTTGATCTCGGGAATGAAACGAATCCATACTTACGGAGTAGAAGGCCAGATACCATAGGCGGCTGACGAAATCATTCTTGCCCCAAAACCTAGGGGGGGTGGAATCGGGAGTCTTGCTCATCAGAACGGAAGCTATGCATCCAGCAAAGAAGAGTCCAAATCCTACACCAGCTCCCGCACCGGGACTGACTGCATGCGCAAGGGCAACACCGAGGACCATACCCAAGATGTATCCCGTGTTGTAGATGATGAACGGCACTTTGCCGACTTGTCCAATGACATCCTTGCAACGGTAAACGCTCGTGGATGTCACGCACTCAGCAAATACGACAAACACCAGCGCGACGTCGTTTGTCCATTTGTCGATGCCGGTCAAAAGATAGTAGCCGAACTCCGTGCAGTAGGGGAGTGATAGCAGGAACGAGAGAATCGTCAGCGCTGTTACAACAACCGGACGCGAGAACTTGATGCCAGTGTCCATGACTAGAGTCACAATGGCATCCAACATGGCGAAGGCCGAGCTGAAACCCAAGACCATGAGAGTAAAGAACAAGGCCACAGCCCAGAAGTTGGCGCCAGGCATCTCCGTGACGGCGAGAGGAAGGGTAAGGAAGCCCACTGTGAAACCTCCAATAGGGTTCTCAGGATCAGGGTACATTCCCAGATAGCCCACAACACCGAACACAGCAAAGGCTGCAATGTTCTCGAACAGAACGTTGCTGCATACGATGAGGATGGAGTCCATGACAGCATTCGAGTACTGACGATTGTATGACTAGACGGAGTGAGTCAGTTACGTAGGAGGATACGGAAGCTGTTGGCGCAATGCTTACCGCATAGGAGGTGAAGTAGCCAAATCCAACACCAGTTGAGAAGAAAACTTGCCCGCAGGCTGTCTGCCAGACCTGTCCGCTGGCAAGTTGAGAGCCTCTCCACGTCGCGAAATACAGTTTGACACCTTCACCCGCGTTCTCCAGGGAGACTGATCTTCCAATGAGTACAATTGTGACAACAATCGGAAGGCCCATGGTGAAGTAGACCACCCTGCCCGTCAAACCAACACCACGGAAGATGCACAGCCAGCACAGAAACCAGGTGAAGAGGGTCCATCCGACCGTCTCACCCAGCAGAGCAGTGCCTGGATACTGTGTGTAGTTGGCGACAGCACTGCCATCGGCAGTAAGATTCCCTACAATAGGGTCGACGTTGGCGACTACATCGCGATTGAAGAACTCTTCGCCTCGGTTGGTCCACGGAAGCGGGCTGGTGAATGATTGCCGGAAGTAGTTCATGATCCATGCCAGATTGACGACGAAGTAAGGGCCGACCACGAAACCGACATACAATAGGGATAGCCCAGTGCCCTTGAGCTTTTGGTTGAGGTTGTTGTAGGCGACAACACTTCCTCCGCGATATGCCTCTATTCACAATCATTAGACGCGGTAGCATTTGGGGGAGGGGAACACAAACGCCCAATAGCAATCTCCAGCACCAAAACAGGAATTGCGATAATGAAGACGGCCATCAAATATGGAATGTACCACTGCAGTCCATGATTGTTGTACACCTGTGACGGGTATCGTAGGAGGTTACCCATGCCAGCGCAGCCACCCATAGAGGCCAGCAGGAAGGCCGCCCGTGAGGGCCACGCATCTCGCCCATCCTCTGCCTTGTTAGGCGGAGGCGCAAACCACCCGCCAATCTTTTTGAGCACGTCCATGCCTACGCCACGTGGAAGACGAGATATGCGCCGTCTGCCGATGATCAAGGTCCGTCCCGGAAGTTACCCGGGGCGCGGAATCGTGTGGTTGAGCTTGTTGAGGGTAGCTTATGTTGACTGCATGTGAGGCTCAAAGATGAGGTGCGAATGACTCCAAATGATGGAACCTTGTGGGATGAAGATCACTTCAGAGAGTTCGAAGACTCATGTGGAGAAGGACGAAGAGAGAGAGAGAAGCAAGAGAAGAGAAATCATTCCTCTACCTCTAGGTACGTACCACATGGACCATCATCATGCTGCCTTTTTATTCAGCTCTAGAGGTCCCCCAAGCATCTGATGCGACCCTGCTGGTCTGCAGAACTTTCACTCGGGTTTTCGCCGCAAGACGCGAACGCCCCCAGCCTGCCCACACAACCAACCGCCGCCAGCAAGCACGCAATCTTGTTTGGTTTCACGCCTCGTGGGGTTCTCGTCCGTTGCCATCTTCCAACGGGTCGAGGGTATGTGGGTAACAAAAGTCTTAGCATTACCTAGGACAAGACCTTAGCGAATCCTTCCAGCAGCGCGTCTCCCGTGGCATCGCGGGCGGGAGCTGGAGGCGGAGCGCCGAGAGAAACATCCCGGTGAGCCAAGGTCTCGGCGGACTTGGCGACAAGGCTCTACAGTACCGGTATCCGCCCGGCCAAGACCGAGAACGGAGACAAGGGCGATTGTCCGTCGAATCACCGGAGCGGAATGACGCGATCGACCCCACCTGACGGGATTCCGGTCTGACCTAATAAGCAAACCGCTCCGTGGTGGTTCAATTGCGCTGGGTCGGTGTCACCGTGGAGTCGAGAGACTTTGACGTGGGATGACAGGCGGGGGAAGGAGGCCAGTCTGGACAAAAGGACCTTGTTGGTTGTGAAAGTGACGAATAACACGTGCTCTCGCATAAGTTTAGGTCCCGGGTCGCCACCAACATCACCCAAAAGGCTCCTCCATGCAGAGCATGCCGCCTGATCGAAGCCATCAACCCTTCAAGGTGCGCCTGTTGATGCCTTTTCAACTTTGTTCCTGAGCCGAGGATATGGCTCATCGGAGAAGCGCCACTGAAACTATGATTATTGTGGCGTAGTGTATGCGCGAGGAAGACAGCTCAACTTCGCTCTGAGCCTAATGCTCCAATCATGCGTGCCGGAGTATATTCCGAAAGTCACATTGATCTAGGAATATCTCTCAGGCTCAAGGTCCATCTGGCTGCATCTATCGCAGAGAAATCCCACGGTGTTGGCAATGCACCCCAGAACTTGGCTTGCTTGTGTGTGCGAGTAGCCCTGGCTGATATGGAATTCCCTGTTTGATAGGTCGACTCTGAGTGGGATTCTTTCACAGGAACGATACAATATGGGCCCCGGTGCTCGGGCTGGACATCAAGGGTGGGCCGACGCATGTCTTAAATTGAGGTCCCTGTATTTCTGCCAATATCTTGGCCGCATCCCTTCGCCGTCCATTGTTGGCCAGAGATACGAGATGTGTCCAGGTGACATGCCCGGTAGGACCGAGCAAGATAAGAATGAACGGGAGGCCGCATGGCTATTGAGAAGGTCGACGTCACTGTTCTAGCCCTGCCCTTTTCAAACCAGCCCCATCCGCAACAGCCTTGTACCAAACTCCACCAGATAGTAGTCAGCATAGACCAGCCCGTGGTCTTTTTTTCGATGGTTGCTCATTGGATTGTTACAGACTGTGGCATTCTTCAAGATTGACTCAAAGCATTCGCCTCCTACCACGTCGACGCCCGTCAATTCACCGTTCGTTCCAACGTCCAGCCGAGCCTTCTCTTCAGCCAGGGAAAATTCCAAAGTCTCTTCCACGATTCTGAGCCCGGCCTGTAGGAATCGGTCGCTGACATCGCGAAGACCCTGTCCCGCAAGAGACTGGGCTAGGATCAGCAAACCGTTGGCAGCCGCGGTCCCGGCCGAGGTATCCCGCAGCGGGGGTTCTCCATCTTCAATCGGAGCATCGAAGTCCCACACCGGCACGTATCTCCCAATCTTCCGCTCGGAACCATCCGGTGCCGGGACTTCAACCGCTGCTGGTGCTTTCTCCAAACGTAATAAGAAGTATTCTGCAAGTCCACATGCCGTTTCTAGAAATTCACGTTCCCCAGTCCAGACATACGTCTGGGCATACCCCAAAATGGCCCATGCTTGGCCTCGTGACCAAGTAGACGACGTACTGTATCCTTGTGCTGTACACCGTCCCTTGATTTCTCCATTGATTGGTGAAAAGTTGACGACATGGCAGGTGCTGTACAATGAACCGGGGAACCGTTGCTCTAGCTCCGGTGGTTCTAGTCGTAGATGTGACTTCAGGAGCGTACGGGCGTGTGCAATGGCGGCATCTGCGAGTTGTTTGTCACCAGAGTGAGCTGCGGCGTAGAAGAGAAGATCAAGGTTGCACATCGAATCGATGATAACGATGAAGTTGTCATCCATGCCTATAATAGGTGGGATTTTCAACCATGTCAACTGATCCCATGACCTTATAGCTCCAACGACAGGATTGAATCGAGTATGCAAGCTCTTGGCAGCCGTGAAGATGGTGTTGAGAGCCTTTTCATCATGAAACAATTCCCACCTAGGTCTCATATGGGGCATTTGGATAAAACCAAGGTCATGAGTGTTGGTAAGTCGGGATTCGCCATGGATGGGGTCTGACCAGGCCTGTGCTAGTACTTGGAGTCGTCTTCGTAGCTTGGGCACATCGATGTCTGGATTATCTGATTTGATCGTGTGGGGACATTTGATGGCTCTCTCAAGAAGTGAGTAGAGGCTGCCTGCAAAGAACCCACAGGTCCAAAAGTCGATGTTTCTGGATTGATACTGGCCATAATTGGGGCCGATCTGCGGTACCGTCTCAGGAAATCTCTTGGGCGGGTCCTGATAACTGTCAGTATTGAGACCTTCGAAAGTCACCAATCCAAGGAAAGGTGCCTAGACTTGCGTTGTCAATCAGATTTTGTGTAGCGGTTCGGATGATCTTTGCTGTCACGTTTTCGGAGAACAACTCCGACAAACGATCTCTCAGCGTTTGCAAAGGCAGACGGGCTGGGGTTGTGTTCGGCATCGTCTGCTGAGGGCAGCTTCCGACGTTGGCTGTGGGGTTATTGACAAGCCAGGCCTCCCGAGTGCTCCGTATTTCGACCAGCATTGAAACAACTTGATGGGAAGTTGAGAGTGATTATAAGTTCGACACAGGTAAGAGATAACAGGCTTCTTGCGCAAGCTCATCCCCGAGCTTACGGGTACAGACGGCTGCTCAAACTTAGGTGGCACTAAGTACGAGGGTTGGTATTTGGGCCAGGCAAACTATTCCACCTTTCTCAGGGAATACAAGTATCTCACCGAGATGAAATGCTCCGAAAAGCCGGTTGGCTCTGTTCCAAACCTTGCAGCCCGAACATTCTCCAGTCATGGGTGCCAACTCAAACGCGGGGTAGACCCCCTTCGGGCCCGCAGTTCGTCCACCGGCCGATGGTTGCCCGAGATCTTTCACCCCCGATTTTAGCACTGCTCTCCTGCTGTGAGAGACAAAGCGAAGGTCATTCTCGTCTGGTGCCAAATACCAAAGGCGCAAGTTCTATTCGGTGCATTTGCATCAGTAGGTTTCGCCATCTAGCAAGATGTCACCCCTACCTGGTTTTTCTGACAACCCACTGAAGTCCCGAGATGACGTGGTGCGGGCCACAGAAGCTTTGATCAAGCCTCTTATTCAATATTTTTCTCATGGAAAGGCAAGAGTCAAGCTTCCAGTTGCCACGGGTACCCATTTCGATGAAAACGCAGCACAGCTCGAGGGCTTTGCCAGGCCGTTGTGGGCTGTCGGGGCACTCTTGATGAGCGGCGATCCCAATTGGGAGCTCGTTCAACCTTGGATTGATGGATTCGACGCTGGCGTTGACCCAGATCATCCGGAATACTGGGGCGATATTCAAGACTATGACCAGCGAATGGTCGAGGCCGAGATGATCTCCTTTGCACTGCTGGCAGCACCTCGACATATGTTGTGGGATCGGCTTCGTCCCGAGACCCGGAAGAACCTCGTCACCTGGCTTTCAAGCATGAATACCAAACTAGTACATCGAGCTAATTGGCTCTGGTTTCGGGTGTTTACCAACCTTGCCCTTTCCCGTGTGTGTAACGTTGATACCCCGGAGGTGCGCGATCAAATCGAGGACGACTTGAAAGTACTCGACACATTCTACTTGGAGGATGGATGGTCCAGTGATGGCTTGTGGAGAACTCCTGACATAGACGACGAGGAATATCGGGTCTTTCGAGAGACGGGTCGAGCCAATGCACTTCCAAACGGACGAAATGCCTGTTTTTACTCTGGCAGTTTTGCAATCCAGTTCAGCCAGCTGCTTTACGTAAGATTTGCTGGCGATCGTGATCCTGCAAGAACAGCGAAATATCAACAACAAGCTCGAGACTTCGGTGCTGGCTTTTGGAGGTTTTTTAATTTCAACGGCGCCGTGATACCTTTCGGTCGCTCACTTACCTACCGGTTCGCCGCCGCCGGGTTCTTTGCAGCCCTTGCTCTCGCAGATGTACCGAACATGCCGGCACCCCTAGCGAGCCCCGGCGCTGTGAAGGGATTTCTGCTCCGCCACTTACGATGGTGGGCCAACAACTCAAAAGATATTTTCTTCCCAGATGGGACGTTGAACCTTGGCTGGGTCTATCCGTGCGTCGTCTCTCCCCTTCACCTACCTGAGAAGCTAACCAGTCCTTGTTAGAAACATGTATCTTACCGAAGACTATAACTCACCACAATCGCCTTATTGGTGTCTCAAATCACTTGTGGTGGTTGCACTGTCATCGAACAACGCCTTTTGGACTGACCCTGAAGTGCCATATCCCGATGTTTCCACGGATTCCGGCATTAAGCTCCTGCCTGCTCCTCGGCAAATCTTCTGTAATCACCCGAGAGGCAACCACCATTTCATGCTTTCAACCGCTCAATTCATGGGAGTCACGTTCAAAGGCCACCAGGCGAAGTACTGCAAGTTCGCCTACTCGTCCTCCTTTGGGTTTTCAGTTCCCACAACCCAGGCAACACTTCACCAGGTTGCACCCGACAACGCCTTGATATTCAGCCGAGACGGGATGGAAACATGGGTCGGGAAATACAAGTGCGGCGACACAACATACGGGACGGCCGTCGTACACGGGAAAGCAAATGAAGAGGTCGTCTCGGCTACCGTTGAATGGTTTCCATGGGCTGATCGCAGTGTGACGGTGACAACGACCCTTCTCCCCCCAACTCAGCGCTGGCCGGACTGGCATGTAAGAGTTCATCACATCAAAGCAGCTGGACCTCTCAGTAGGCTGTTCACAGCAGAAGGTGGTTTCGCCATCAATGGCCATCAACAACGAAACACCCGTAATCTGCTTGAGATGGCTGATGATGACTTTAATGACGCCTACGAGCTCGGCCAAGCAGAACTGATTATCATCGGCGCCAACTCAGTCCTGATTCTGGGCGAGTCAGGTGCATCTGGAATCAGTGCCGATGTAATCTCGAGTGCATCAATGTCGACCAAATTTTCACCATTAAAGCCAGAGGCCAACACCAACATCATGACCCAGCGCTCTCTAATCCCCATGATAGAGAGCAATATCATAAGCCTGGGCCGGATTGATGATGTAATCATTGTCACCAAGGTCTTTGCTATCTCAAGCAACGCATATCTAGCTAGAGGTGGTCAGGCAAGGATTCTGAGGCAACGATGGGCAGACCAGCCAAGCATCCGTCTCATGAACACACCTGGCCAAATCCAAACCTCGGAGGACTTTATATCGTTATAACTTAAAGGTATCAATTTTACGGATATGAGACGGAATGAATGTGTGGGTTTAGGCGCATAGTAGTGCGTTCACAAGCCCGTCTGGTCACCACTATCGCTTTCCTGGATGAGCCACATATCGGACGAGCCTGCATCAAAATCCTCAAGTCTTGTGTTGAACATGATATCGTCGTAGCTCATAATGCGATCCATTACAGCAAACTCTTCATCCATCAAAACCCTGGATATCGCCGAGAGCTCGTCGCCGGTCGACTCAACAGATGAAGTGTCGCACATGACTGGTGTAACCGAGCTCTGAGAGATATATCCTGCAATTTGGGATGGTTTGTCTGCCTGTTTGGTCGGTGCCTGGGCCAAAATCTCCTCGTTGATGATCTCGTCAGCGTATTCAAGTAATGCTAAACGGAAATGAGTATTACTCTCGCATAGATCGTGAAGTTTGCGAAGACGGGTTGCGAATTGGGAAAACAACGAGCTTCCATCGGATCCCGCTGACCCGAAGTCTCCTGACCAACGTCGACTCATTTCTTCCAGGCTGTCGATAAGAGCCCAGAAGCTACTTGATAGGCCTCCGTCATATCTTCTCCAATGAACTGTTGAACCCATTTGAGTAAGTAGAGTAGGCTCCTGGGAAGGAAGTCAAAACACACCTAGAAGAATCTTTGCACTGATAAAGCAGCAGAAAGACATATGTGGAGAGACTATGGCTTCAACTGGCGACCCAGCGAGATACTTCCTCACCATATTCGCGTTTTCGACAGCAGCTCCGAGGCAGGTTTCGGCGCTGTAGCTACTCGGCAGCTTGATACCACGCAGCTCATGTGCTGGATAAGCGATTCGTTGGTGTAATAGAATCATGGAAGTGTTATGAGTAGTGTGGGCCAAAGTCATGTTAGGATCCATGACACCTGGCATTTCTCTACGCGATATCCCCGAATCCTTCCACTGCTGAGGCAGGAACATCTTCCAGCTACATACTGTTGTCAGCCTAAAAGCTACTTCAGGATGCGAATTATTACTTACTGAACTAAGCGTAGATCCAGTTCTTTAAACCGTGTCAGCCAATCCGAAACCTCTTTTCTGTCACTGAAGTTGACCTTCTCCTGCAGAAAGTAGGTGTTGATCCGGCTTAGTGACTCGATGGATTCGATGTAGTAGGCGAAAGCCCCGATGCTTGACATATCAACGGGAGCCGATGCGACAGCCCCTCGGGTCTCAGGACGTGCCAGATTTGTAATAGCTTGAGCATCTACAGTGTGTGACTGCGACGGGCTGGAGTGATGGGTAGGAAGAAAAGTAATGGAGTTGCCAATCTTGGCTGAAGAACGATCCCATATGCCCAAGTACGGAGTCACCGCCGGCGTCTCGGCATACCAACGACCACCACAAACAGGTAGCCTTCGACAGACATCAACTGCTGTCAGACTGGCATTGCATCTTTCATTGTCCATTAGAGTCAGCAATTATGATGCGAGACGCTGCAGGTACAATTGTACTTACCCGGTAGTCATTGAACAGAACCTATTTCATGTACGATGAATTAGCTCTGGATGGCTTGTGAACGCGCCGAACTGTGAACCGACCTGTCCAAGATAAATATGTTCCAGAATACCCTGCGTCGCTCTTCCTCCTCAACCCAATTTCTCGGCCCCGTAAGATGTGGCGAAGGGCGGATAAATGATGAACGCCTTTGTCGGTCTTCATCCTCATAACTGAGCTGCAGGTATTGAACTGATCTGGAGATCGAACCAATGATAGGCCAGGCTTTATCACACTCTCCGTTGCCAATCTATCGGGGTTTGTAAATCTTTGGGCGAGTGGCTTGATGGCTAGCTTCGGGGTGCTTACTTACATCAGAAAAGGCGACAATTGCCAATGCTTGCAGGCTTTCAACATTGAGGGCGTTCATCGAGGTTGCGATCACAAGATTTCGTGATCTTTGAACTTGCGATTTGAGTTCGCTTGGTTCATGGTCCCTTCTCTCAATAAACCGTGACGCTGCAACCAACATTGCGTGCAAGATGACAGATACACTCGTCTTGTCGGACGTCAGCAATCTTTTTCGGAAGCCTGCTTCTTGCAAGAGTGGAATCCATGGCTGAACTCGGGTGAAGTATGCATCAAGTAGTTCTGAAAGCTGGCAAGGAAAACCAAGCGTCGGGTCTTCGTCCCCTAGGACGGGTGACTGCATGTGAGCAAGACGCTGTTCCTCATATCTTGGTCGCTTATTCGGTCGAAAGGACTCTTGGTCATTGTGACTGTTTCCTCCAAAGCTTGGTTGTGGTCCACTTTCGGAAGAGCTCAAATGTGACACGAGACTCGCTCCAATTGTGGAATTCAGCTTGTTGATCTCAGTCGCAAGGGTAGAAAGAACTCCTACGATCGATGACGTCTGATTATCCACGTTACTACCAGTTGAAGCAGTCGGTAACTCGTTGTTGCTGAAGACAGCGTTTTCCACCGCCTCTAGATTAAAGCATGAGCATCTGCACGGTCACGTATGAGACGCGTTTTGCTTACCAAGTCTTCTATTGAGACTTTCGACGGCGCCACCCTTTAACCCCGGTTTATTTCGCCTATTTTCATAAATGCAGTCAATCTCTGGTTTTGTCAGCATGGGATTTGTTCCGTCGAAGGTTGAATTTAGAGTGACTTACCAAGCCGTTCACAGTTCGAGCACAGCGGCCTTTGGCGGGTGCACTTCAACTTGCGCCGTCGGCAACCCTCGCATGATGGCAGGTCAGCTGCGGGCATACCTCCATCCGATTCCGCAGGATTGGGGCCCAGGGCAGTCATTTGGAGTCTATCGGACATGCAGTTAACCATGGAATGCTGGGTGACAATTGCAGGCAGAAGTTGGCATGATTCAAAAACCTCGGCCCAAGTTGTCCCATGCAGTACCTAGTTGCGGGGTTGTGGAGACGGGACACAGGGCGGGGACTTGGTGACTCCCGAGAGCCCATCGGCGTTCCGGGTTCCGGTCACTTGAGAAGCGGTCTAGACTTCAACGCCGACCACCAAAGAGTGGCCCAGGATGTCGAATTATATTTTGCATTATGGAGAGTAGGACACAATTCAACTTATAGAGAATTTTCACCACCAATTCTGTGATATTTGTGTCTCAGTTCACTTCACTCTACCGAAAGCCTCCCTGTTCTTTCTCTAACAAGGTGAAAGACGTCTCATCACATGACGTGTGTTCTGGATATCTCAGTCATCATCCCAAATCATTTTGCCGTGTTTGTAACCTTTAGAAGACGCATAGAGCGTGAGCGACGAAAATGCCCCAAAACAGCGATGGCAAACGGGAGCTAACCCCGCTGACAAAAGCCCATAGGCGGCATGTTTTCGGTACTTGCTCGGACGAACAGTACGTTGGTGGACGTTGGTGGGTGAGGCAATGCAAGAACGTGGGAATCATAATCTCACTAACAGCAGCCATTCAATGCGGTCTGCAAAGACTCGTCAGAGGTTAAGACACTTGCTTATGGTCGTGGTCTTGTTTGGTACTCCCACGTTATTCTGCCTCGCTCGACCACTTCAGGTTTTGATCCGCCGCAATAAACCCACATTGGGTCGCAAAGATTGTGATATTCAGGGCGATGTTATAGCACCCACAATCGACCCGTCAGACTGCCCAAAGCGTGATATAGTATGACTCGTTACTAGGGAACGCATTGCTGCTTCGCCACATCTTGTGCTCATATAAGCCACTCCGTAAGGCTGAAGAGCGCAACAATAAGGTCTGGGGATCAATTAATTCGCCAGGCGTGACTGGATCTTGGCCTAGAAGCTAACGTACCGAAAAGCCGGCAGAGGGTAGCAGTGAAGGGTTAAGAGCCGCCATCTTGACAATATTAAGATGCGATAGCAACGTCGCCACGCGTCAACAAGCCATTTCGGAAGAGTTCATAGCCGGACGGGAGGGATTCCCCGTGACTAGTGGAAAGAAGAATTAATCATGGATGTTGTGATTACAGCAGAGAAACCTTTCGCAAGAAATTCGTGAAGCATCACGGAGCGCGAGTGTTTTCGCGGCTGGAGTCTTGGTGAACTCCGATAAATCCACCAGAAGACCCATACGTGTCTTCGCAACCGGCTTCGCATCCGGGGGAGAGAAGCAGAAAAAACGGCGTTTGCGTTGTCCTGGGAGCGGCTAAGCTGCAAGACACCGTGAGGGTATGAAATTAATTGATTGAGCTCGGATGTCAGCTGCTAAGTCCGAATGCCCGCCACTTCACAAGGGCAATCAACCGTACAATTGTGAGATACAACACATCTTTACCGATAGGACTTGGGACTAGAGAATGTGCGGTGGACGCTATGCGAGTCACGTAGCAAGAAATTCGGTGTGACCCCCAGTATTTGAAACCATGGTGGCCGTGATGCGAGTGGGACTGAACCAGCCCCAACGGCAGCCGTCGTTGTGGCTCCGTCTGTCGCTCTCGCTTTCGCTCCTCACGCCTGCCATGCCACTTACGAAATGTCAGCGTTCTCGATGTTCAGCCTCACCGCAAACGCATGTGCCGTTAGTTCCCAATATTTCAATCCAACGGCTTAATGATGTTCGAAGAGCATGACCACTATTTAAGAGCTGAGAATGCCCTTCTCTAGAGCTCTCCTGAACCATCAACGGCCTCTCACATCTCAACCAATCGCTTCAACCAGCTTCTTCAATCATTTGATTACACCAGTCGCTTCAAAGAAACTCAAACAAAAATGCAGTTCTCCACCACTTTCGCCGTTCTTTTCCTCGCAGCTGCTACAAGGTACGCAACCGCTTCCTCGATCATCATCACTAGCACAAGCTTTGCTCCCAAACCTCCTGCTATTTCTCATAAAACTGTTTACCAGCTTTCTCCATTGCTGCACGTAGCTAATCAACACTATCTAGCGTTGCTGCTAAGAAGCACACTCAACTCTATTGCACCAACGCCAGTGGCTCTGGACAATTCATCTTCTCGTTCCCTGTAAGTCATCCAGAAGTCGATTTTCTCTATAAGTGATAAGCTGACGGAGGATGCAGAACGACGACGTTACCAACAAAGTCTGCCCTACTTTCTGTTCGGACTGTACGCTTGGTGACAACGACGGACACCGTGTCTGCAACTCTCCGAGCAAGCAACTTGATGGCGACGGCTTTGCGAGTGCCTGTGTTGCTGCTGGGGCTGATGGCAGCAAGTAAGTGCTGTATTCAGATACCTACAGGCCTCGCCAGTGGCAGGTGAGGGCAACATGTGGTTCTTGTTCAGGATATCAAGTCACATAGTATGGGCTAGATCTTGTTTAGACAACATACCTTAGCACATAAACGTTGAATTTAAGCTGTGCTACTTCACTTTATTGTGTTTGTACTCGGATTTTCGTGTCTTCAAACACAAGACAGTTGGGTGAGATAAGAGTGTCCAGATCAAGGGCGTGTTATATGCCGCTTAAATCAACTGGTCGGTATTAAGACATTCAGGGCGTGAGTTCATAAGGAATTGAAGCTCATTGAAATCTAATTACAAATGCAGAGACGCAAAGATGACGTCTGATGGAGATCAAAACATTCACTTTATACCTTGTACCTCCACTCACTGTTGGCTTTCCTCGCTGAAAAGTTGCTGTTGACGTGCTGCTTCATGTCCAGTCTCTTGTTATGGGCGACAATGAACGCCCACGTCGCGGATAAAATGCAGAATGCAATGATGACCAAAATCATGCTGATTGTCATCCCTCTCTCGTAGTACGGTCCATCGCTCGTCTTGAAGATCCATGCAGAGATGTAGCTCGAGGTATTCCCCACTCCCACTACGAAGCCACTTCCGATAGCGCGTTGAAACGGTGTTTGCAGGTTTTGTATCGTCAATATCCAGATCATAGGGAGTGTGATGAAGGTACCAAAGGCGATGAAGTAGAGAGCCATCATGGTAACACTCGAACTCTCGTGCTGGGCCTTGCGCAAGACCGCGTAGCCAATGATCGTGAATACGAACCCGACGAGGCCGAAAGCCGACCGGTGGTTGAGTCGATCAGCCGCGAAAGCAGTGGCAAGACACGCAACAGCTGCGACAACGAAGATGGGAACGATTTGGGCCTGAATGTCGGCGGCGCTCAGTTCGGGATGAAACGACTTTACAAAGGATGGCGAGAAGATTGAGACCGAGTAAGCGGTGGTAGTGGTGAAGCAATAAAGCGT